CGAGAGCAGGTAAGTCTTCACCTGCTGCCAGCAGCTGCCGTTGATTGTGGTGCTGCGGAGGTTACCCACGTGACTGGCTCTTGGCAACTGGGGTAGCAGCAGCCTTCGCCGTGAGCTTGAGCTTCTTGCTGGCCTCTTCGCCGCTGAGCTCGGCCTTCGTGAGGGTGTCTTGGCTGCTCTGGAGCACATCGACGGCGCGCTTGCGAGCGGCCTCCATCGCTTCGTCATCTCCTGGGACAGGTTGGGCAATGTAGCTGGGCACCTGCTCGCCCTCGGGATCCTCGCCCATCTTGGGGAAGTGGTCTCCTCCGCGTCCTTCTTCTTCCGCTGGCGGCGCCGGCTGCTGCTGCTGCGTCGGGGAGCCCCCTTCTGGTGCAGCTGGCTCGGCGGCCGCGGCCTCGTTCTTCTGCTGTTGCTCGATGTTCTCGAGCACCTTCGCCATGGCCGGCAGGTGCTGGTCCAGCTCTGAGGGGATGTGGTCCAACGGCATGTCGATCCTCGTCGCGATGAGAGAGCGCATGGCTTCTGACAGAGGCACCTCCTGCACGGCCTTCTGCGCAGCAGCCCTCTGCACCACCTGCAGCTGCGTCTGCAACCTCTGCGCTTCACTAGCCATTTGGGAATATTCATCCAGAGCCTGCTTGTGATTGTCGGCCACCGTGACCAACTGCTGGGTGAGCTGGTTGACCGTGTTCTTGCACTGCACATGCTTCCTCTTGGCCTGCGCCAGCTGGTCCGTGGGGCTCTGTACTTGTTGATCTGGGGTCTTGTCCTGCAGCGCGACCTGCTTGGCTCTCTTGAGCCCTTCGATAGCGTCTCGGTATTCTTTGCTGGAGTCTCCTTTCCACTGCTTCCAGAACGCCACCTGCGCCTGCGCGAGCTCGATGGCCGAGCCGCAGGTGTCGTGAGACTTGGGGCCGTCGGTGGTTTTGTCGGTGGTGGTGGCGTCGCTGATGAGGTCGGCAGTGGGGCCAGCTCCTTGTTGGGGTTCGCGTGATCGTCCTCGCCAGCGTCCTCCACGCCCGCCAGCCTTCTGACCTGGTTCAAGCTCGACTGTGAATCATACTGCACGCTGACGACCGTGCCGCCCACCTCCACCAACACCTGGGGGCAGCTCGTCGGCGTGGGACAGATTCGTCTGGGACAGCTTCGTGCCGCACTTGGTGCAGTGAGTCGCTCCCCGATCTGCCCAGGCCCAGCCGCTGCAGCCATGCCATGGGCACACGAGATACTTGCCGCGCGCCATGCCGAATCCTTCTGGAGCACTAGTCCTATACCCAAGAAGAGTAGTGCAAGAAGGCCCCTCTGGCTGGGCGCGCGGTCTGTCGTGGACGGAACGTTGCGAGAAAGATTGGGCCGCTGTGGCCGGCTCGCCTCGAGCCAGCCCCTCGGCGGCGGGCAAATACGAAGCCGCAGGGCCACGCATTCGTGCTTGAGCCAAAATGGCTACGGGCAGGAGGAGGAGGAGGAGCAGGAGGAGGGGGAGGAGGAGGAGGAGGATCAGGAGGAAGAGGAGGAGATGAAGGAGAGGGAGGAGGAGGAGGAGAAAAATTGAGGAGAGTCGAGAAAGTCCGACCTCCTCCTGAGGAGGAAACGAAAATGATGATGATGATGATGATGATGATGATGATGATGATGATGATGATGAGGAGGAGGAGGAGGAGGAGGAGGAGGAGGAGGAGGAGGAGGAGGAGGAGAGGGAGAAGGAAGAGGCGGAGGATGAAGAGGAGGAGGAGGAAGAGGAGGAGGAGGAGGAGGAGGAAGAGGGGAATCGAAGAAGGCCTACCTCCTCCTAAGAAACAAGATGAGGAGGAGGACGAAGAAGAGGAGAGTCGAAGAAGGCCAACCTCCTCCTGAAGAGGAGCAGGGAGAGAAGGATGATGATGATGAGGAGGAGGAGGAGGAGGAGGAGGAGGATGAGGAGGAGGAAAAGGCGGATCTTCTTCTTCTTCTTCTGAGGAGGAGGAGGAGAAGGAGGAGGACAAAGCCGACCTGGTGAGAAGGAAGAGGAGGCGGAGGAAGAGGAGGAAAAGGAATAAGAGGGGGCGCAAGGCGAGAGAATCTGCGGCCTGGCCAGTTTGCCACACCGACTCGGCGGCTGCGGCGGCGGCCGCCGCGGCCTGCTCAATCTCCCACAGCTCCTCGGCCCCAAATCTCCGACACCTTGGCTTTTCCCGACGCGGACCCCGGGAGGTCTCGGGGCCAACAAGCCGTCCTGCGTTGTTTTTTGTCAGCCCAGAGACTCGGCGAGGGCCTCATCCGGACCGTTTGGCGCGCCGGAGGCTTCGCCAATGGTGTTCGCGCGGGCCTCCGGTCCCCCCTCCTAATTACCTAACAGCGAAGACTGATAGGTTTCTAGTGGTGTCAAAAGAGAGCATCATGACTCCTCAGGGGGGTCGGGGCGGGACCCGGGGCGGCTGCCGCCGAAGCCCAAATCGCCTGGGACATCCTCGCAAAATCGCTCTTGGCGCTGCTAGAACTCCACTCCTGGCGTACATTTTGGATGCCCGGAGCCAACTGTAGGCCACTTCGTGCTCTTCGACTTCCCAGAACTCCATTCCCGGGCCACATTTTGAATGCCCGGAGCCAACTGTAGGCCACTTCGTGCTCTTCGACTTCCCAGAACTCCATTCCCGGGCCACATTTTGAATGCCCGGAGGCTGAGGCACTGAGGCTGAGGCTGACGCTGAGGCAGGCTGAGGCTGAGGCTGAGGCAGGCTGAGGCAGAGGCAGAGGCTGAGGCTGAGGCAGGCTGAGGCTGAGGCAGGCTGAGGCTGAGGCCGAGGCTGAAGGCAGACTGAGGCTGAGGCTGAGGCAGGCTGAGGCTGAGGCTGAGGCTGAGGCTGATGCAGGCTGAGGCTGAGGCAGGCTGAGGCTGAGGCTGAGGCTGAGGCTGAGGCTGAAGGCAGGCTGAGGCTGAGGCTGAGGCAGGCTGAGGCTGAGGCTGAGGCAGGCTGATGCTGAGGCAGCTGAGGCTGAGGCTGAGGCTGAGGCTGAGGCTGAGGCTGAGGCTGAGGCTGAGGCAGGCTGAGGCAGGCTGAGGCAGGCTGAGGCAGACGCTGAGGCTGATGCAGGCTGAGGCTGAGGCAGGCTGAGGCTGAGGCTGAGGCTGAAGGCAGACTGAGGCTGAGGCTGAAGCAGGCTGAGGTTGAGGCTGAGGCAGGCTGAGGCAGGCTGAGGCTGAGAGTGAGGCAGGCTGATACTCAGGCAGGCTGAGGCTGAGGCTGTGATTGCGAATGCCGTTGCCACTGCGACTGTCATCGCGAATGCGACTGCGACTGTGAGAACAGCAGAATTCTACAACTGGATTCTGATCTGAATCTTAAGGAGAATGCTTCCAGATATGCTTCTACACATCGCTGTTAGGTTGCTTTGCCGGGATAATTTCCTGCTCTCCCTGCTCCTGCTGCCACTCTTCATCCGACCCACCCCTCTCCCACCACCTCCTCCACCTCCTCCGCCCGCTTTCCCCGCTTCTGCCGCTGCTGCTGCTGCTCCTCCTCCATTTCGCTTAGCGAGCTCGACGGTCCACGGAGGCCAACGATGTATTCTTTCGATGCGCGACCCCATTGTCCAGAACTCTTCTCGCGGGGCTTCGTCATTCGCCCTGCATCTATCTTTGATAACCCCAGGGGCCCGAGAGCGGGCAAAAGACGCCGAAACCGAGGAAACAAACCGGGACAAAAAAGACACATGAAGAGGCCTGGGCGGAAGTGACCTTCAAGCCCAAGCCTGGGTCTCTGGCAGCCGTCCGGGGCGATCTGGTCACCCCTGGAACGTTCTTGACTACCTACCAGACCACCCCAACCCAACCCGAAGACCCGAATTTCGGGTTGGGGGGGGGTAAGGGTTCCACATGTGTTTTTTCGATGTTTCCCGACCCCCCCCCCACTGGAAATCGAGGGTAAATCTGAGCCTTCGGGTTGGGTTGGGGTGGTTTGGTGGGTGGTGAGTTCTCAGCGAGGCACAACTGCTGGAAAGCATCCCGAGGCTACAAAATAGAAAGCCTCGGGGAAGCGACGAAAACGCCGCGACGCTAACGAAGAAGCCGTCGGAGATCTGGGCGCTTTGCTTTTGGATCCTCGGCGGCGGCGACCGCCGCGGCCTCGGGCCCGAGCCACTCGGCCGGCGCGGCCGCGGGCTGCTGCAGAGACGGCCGCGGGAGGGGGTCGCTCTTCTGAGCCCAGGCGGGGACGGCGCGATGGACGCCGCGGCCAGCAGTGGGCAGCGCGTCTGCGCCGCCGCCGTCCTGCCGCCGCCGGGCGCGATACGACGACGAGACGACGACGCCGGCACCCGACGACGACGATAGCAAGGCAGGCACGTCCACCTCGCTCGGTGCTGCCGTCGTCGCTCCCTGCTTCATCCTCCTCGTCCTCCTCCTTCTCCTCCTTCTTCTCCTTCTCCTCTTCCTCCTCCGCCTCCTCCTCGTCTCTCGCCCTCCTCCTCCTTCTCCTCCTCCTCCTCCAGGAGGAGAAGCGGGCGGACACGAGCAGCAGTGGTAGCCCAGTCATGCCCAGCCATAATCGCAGGAGTGGTAGTGGTAGTGGTGGTAGTAGGTGGTAGTCGGTGGTAGTGGCGGTAATGGTAGTAGTGCTGCCAGTAGTCTTTGCAATGATGTCAGCAATGATAATGCGCAATCGGGGGCACTCACCGAAGTGCTGAACAGCTACATGACACGACTGATGCTCCGAACTGCTGCACCACCGTAGCCATGGCCATGATACCATGACCAGCGAAAATACAAGGGCAACGACCAACAAGACGACGGCGAAGAAGAAGGCGACGACGACGGCGAAGACAATGACGACGACAACGATGACAAAGGTGACGACGCCGACTGCGGCGGCGAAGGCGACGACGACGGAGACCACGACAACGACGACGAAGGCAACGACGACGGCGACCGCGACGACGGCGACGGCGAACGTGGCGACGACAACGGTGGTGACAACGACGACGACGACGACGACGACGACGACGACGACAGCCGAGGCATCCTGGAGGCCCGGGGCGCCGCTGCCGCGGCCCCCCGCCTGCGCAGGCGCCCCCCAGCTGCACCAGGGCACTGCCGCGGAGGCGGCGGCGCCCGTGGCCGCTTCCCAGGCGCAGTCCGCCGCGGGCTCCTGCACCGGCGACCCTTGATCGCCGCGCGCGCCGTGGGCGGCCTCCGCGGGCGGCCGCCAGCTGCTGGAGGCTGCCGGCTCGGGGGCGCGCGCACCTCTCTCATCCCCGCCTCCCCTCCCGCTCTGCCTCTCCCTGGCCTTTGTCCCCCACCCCCCCACACCCACCCCGCCCCTTCCCCTGCCCACTCTCTCCCCGTGAGCCCTGGCCCGCCCGTCTCTCCCCCGCCCCCCTGCGACTCCTCCCGCCCCTGCCCCTCATGCACCCCCCCCCCCACACACTTCCCCCGCCCCCCCCCCCTCCCCCCGCTCCTCCACAATGAGTCAATACGGATACATCTCCCCACTACCAGAAGGAATGCCAAATAAGGAACAAAGGGGCTTTTCTGGCCACGGTGGGCCTAGGCCACAAGCAAATCCCGCGATATGAATCTAAGAGACGACCCAAACGGGTCCTTCTTTCAGCGTCTTGCCTGCACGTGCCCCAAATATCGCACCCTCTATGTACAAACTCGACTCGTTAGGAATGCGGTTTTCCATTCGGAATGTCTTCAGTGCTTCAATTATTCCAAATGGACAACGGTGGAAGCATGAGTAGGTTAGCCCCGCGTTCGTAGATCAAACGATCGGCAACGCACGTCGAGCTCGGGCCGGCTACGGGCTGCTTGAGACCTGGATTCCCCTCGGAGTGTTCTGCGCACGCGGGAAACCAGACGGACGATGCTGACCCTCGAGGGGCCAATAGGCACAGCCAATGTCACGAAACGGACGGAGGACGCAGGGCAACCGTGCACTGGGCCTTCGCTGTCGCGGCACGCTGTGCTCGCCGACGATCCTTGCGAGCTGTAGGGGGAGAGGGGAGGGCGGAAGGAGGAAGTCGAGGAGGAGCGAGGAGGAGGGAAAGAAACACACCCAAACCCCGTCCGTGCTTACACCTTCGGGCTCTGCCAACAGCGCTCGCACAGTTGGCCCTCACGGGGAAGGTAAACAAGGAGGGAAAAAGGTCGAAACAACACAGATTACCTGCGCAACGCCCCCTGCCGAGACAAAACAGCCAGGCCAGCTGCGACCGGCATCACTGCAACAGACAGCCCCCAAGCAAAACGGTGAATCGCTACAACTGTGAAGACCCGAGCGGCGGACAGGAAAGAGGAGGAGGACGAGGAGGAGGAGGAGGAGGAGGAGGAGAGGGGAGAAGGAAACGACAGAAAGATGAGCTGCGCCGGCCCGATGGGGGGCAGCTCGAACCCGCGCGGGCCAACTGCAAATTTCCATGCAAAACGGGGCGGAACGCCCTGTGGTTTGCAACCTTAAACAGCATGGAAAATATCATGCAAACTACAGCGGCGCAAAATCACCAGCGACGATTACCAAGGAGAAGCTGGCTGTCTTTAGGGCGGGCTTTTCGGACTCAACCGACTCAACCTGTTTTGGCATAATCGTCATCATCATCGTCATCGTCGTCGTCATGATATTCATCATCGTCCGCGTCATCGCCATCATCATCACCATATCCTCATCATCGTCATCATCATAATATCCATCATCATCTCCTCGTCATCGTCATCGTCATGTAGTGATGATGATGATTAAATCATGACCCACATGACGACGATGGCGGCGTGAACATGTTGATGATGGTGATGATGACGATGATGATGAAACCGATGATTTCGATGATGATGGCGATGAAGATGATGATGCTGACGGTGATGCTGAGTACTGTGGCAGTCCAATCGGATTCGGATACTGTTGCAGCCTAATCGGAATCGGAAAGCACCACAGCCTCCGTGGAAGCGGGCCACCGCATTTCGCCAAGCGCCTCCGTGAGGTCGGGCAGCGCCACGGGGACCCGTACCAGGTGATCGGCCACGACGTGGTTCACGACGCTGAAGAACTCCTTCGGGCCAGGCGTGGCGTCGATCCTGCGCGCCCTGAGCTCCCGAAAGACGTCGGAGCGGATCATGACGGCGATATGCAGCCTGCTGTCGTCTACGCGCTGTTGCAGCTCGTGGTGGGTCGCGAAACAGTCCTGGCAGTCCGCGGAGGCGTGGCGGTGCACGTTGTGCTCGAGGGAGGACAGGGTGCCCATGTAGAAGGACCCAAGCTTTTGCTCGAGGGTGACGACCCTTCCGCAGGAGGCTGTGCTCGAGGGTGACGCCCCATCATGTGCTCCCCCTGGGGTCCTCACTTGCACGGAGCGCGTCCCGAAAAGCGTCACGGCCGCGTGCAACAGGGAGCACCCGCCATCTGTGTGCCAACCATCGTCCCGTGCGCCTGGTTGCATGAGCTGGATCGATGCGCACGCGAACGCGTTGTCGGCGAAGTGCTCTGTCATGATGGGCTTTCCGTTCTGCTCGGCGATGGCAGGTGGCATGCCGTCGGCTTTGACAGCCTCGCGCATTGTCTCCCAGCTGTTGCAGCCACGGGCGCATCTTCTTCCGCAGCGCTCGCACGAAGGCGGCCATGTGGGGCGAGGGGGTGATCTGCAAATTCTCGCCCTTGTTGAGGCTGCGGCACTTCGGGGGGCTTTCGTCGCCCACGATGCCTGCGACCTCTGTTTTCAAGCCCTGTGCCGCCGCGTCGCCTCGGACGCATTTGGAGACGGTTGCCCCCGTGTCCAGGCGCTCCTTGGCCAAGTTCTGCCAGCACGGGTCTCTCTGCAAGAAGCGGGGCAAGTCTGGGTCCAGCTCCGCCTCCGCTATCGTGCCCGTGCCGTTTCTCCCCTGCGCCATGGAGATGCGCACGTCGAGCTGGGCGCCAGCCGGCTGCAGGAAGCGACGCGCCCTTAGACGGCTGATTGTCGCTCTGGCGCCAGGGTGCCAAAGCAGGCAGCTCTCGGCGGTCTTCAACAAGTCTGGGGGGCAGTCTGCAAGTTCGGCAACGGGCCAGCGTCCTCGGCCGCCGAGTGCCTTCGCTGTTTCAGCCTTTAGCCAATCCTCGCCCGACCGCTTGAACCACTTCTTAAAGAAAGGCAGGTTGTCCAGCCACGGGGCGGGTTCCTGGTCCTCGTAATCGCAGAAGTCTCCCGACCCTGGCTCCTTGCCTGGGATCCCCAAGACCTCCCTGGAGAAAACCACGAAGTCTTTCGGGTGCCCCCCTGGATGCCCGAGCGCGCCGCAAGGCTCTGGTTGGAACAACACCTTGCGCGTGTGCAACTCCGCCATCAGGCACCCGATGGACCACATGTCCAGGTCCTCTGAGTAGCGCTGGTTCCCCAAGAAAACATCTACCGCTCTGTAAGCGGGCGCGCATACTCCGAGGTCATCGCAGGTCGGGCTGTAGCGCAGTTTCTTATTCAACCTGCCGTGGGGATCCGCCATCTCCACACAGCCGAGGTCGCCGCGCACCACCTGCGGAGAGGGGCGGATGGAGGAGAGGGGAGCGACGGCGACTGAGCTCCCCCTGGAGGGAAGGGCGGGATAGAGGGCACGACGACGGCATCTCGGGGGAAGGGTGGAACCCCCCTTGTTAGAACTCGGTGTGAGACCTAGCATGAAGGCTAGTGAGATAAGCTGAGCTCTGACCTCGTATATGAGGGCGTCGTCGGAGCTCTAACATGCTATGTTAGAGTTCCATGGGAGCTCTAACACGCTTTGTTAGAGCTCCATCGGAGCTCTCACATGCTATGTTAGAGCTCCCTGGGGAGATCTGACATCCTAGGTTAGAGCTCCCAGGGAGCTCTAACATGGCATGCTAGAGCTGCCTGGGAGCTCTAACATAGCATGTTAGAGCTCCCTGGGAGCTCTAACATGGTATCACGTGCCATGTTAGAGCTCCCAGTGAGCTCTAACATGCTATGTTAGAGCTCCATGTGAGCCCTGACAACTCGGGATCTGGTAGTCGAAGGAACGACGAGGATGACGAGGATGACGACGACGACGACGAGGATGACGAGGATGACGATGATGACGAGGACGACGAGGACGACGACGACGAGGACGAGGAGGACGACGACGAGAACGACGAGGATGACGAGGATGATGAGGACGACGAGGACGACGACGACGAGGACGAGGAGGACGACGACGAGGACGACGAGGACGACGAGGACGGCGAGGACGACGAGGACGACGAGGACGAGGAGGACGAGATGGAGGAGGACGACGACGACGACGGCGACGACGACGGCGACGACGACGTCGACGACGAGCGCCTCGAAGGAACTCGGGATCTGCCAGTCGAACTGCAGCTTGCTCTTTGGGCACGGCGCGACGGGATCCCATTCGCCGAGCTCACGTGATGCAAGCGCCTGCTTCTCGAAGCAGCCGCGCGTCTGCGGCGATCCTCGCATCAGGATGTTCGCGGGCTTGATGTCGCAGTGAATGAGGCCCCTGTCGTGCATGTACTGGAGCCCTTCGAGAACGCTGTTCAGGACGCGGCGCATCCCTGTCTGCGTGAAGGAGGACTTCTGGAGGAATTGGCGGACATCGATCTCGAACAACTCGTACACGAGGCCGATGTGCTCCGTCCATTTCGAATTTATCATTGGTACTGACTGTTGCAGTTCTCGGTGCGCTTTCGGGACTGTTGCAGTTCCTGGGCACAACCTCCTGGAAAAAAGCCCACGTCGAGTAAGCGAACGAGACGCGGGTGCGTGCCCACAGCACCGTGGCGCGTGACCTCATCCAGAGCGCCTCCGACGGCATCCGTAGTAAACCCCTGCTGCGCATCGCTGGGGTCGCCCCGCAGCATCTTGATCGCAAGGCCAGTCTTGTCGCCCCGTCGCATGCCCAAGTAGACCTTGCCGGAAGAGCCCTGACCGAGCTCCCCTCCTTCCCACTCCACGTCGTACTCGAGCGGCAGGTCCTAGCACTTGCCATTCTGTTTGTTTTGGTACGCGTGCCCGACCGCGTCGAGCTTCAGCGCACGTAGATTCACGCGACCCTCGTGGGACACCGCTCTCGGACCAGCAGACCCGCGACGAGCAGCTGCCGGTGGCGTAGGCTCCGGGACCCCGTCCGCGGCGGGAAAGAGCACCTCCCCCAGCGCCTCCTCTAGGGTTTCTCCTGCGGCACCCTGGCCCTCGGCGACAGCTGGCTCATCTTCTGCAGCGTTAGCTATTCCAGCCCATTTCGCGCACCCTGGCACCCCCGCAGGCTTGCTC